TAAAAATTTTAAAAAAAAGAAAAGAAAACTAAAGCTTAGAGGGTTATTTGCTCTAAGTCACAAAGAGTGCCAATGCCTACATTTTTCTAATTTCTAACTTCTGGTCTCTCATTACAACTTACAATAACCTAGGAAAAATTAGAAAAAGTTTGATAGTATCATAATAGGAATAATAAACAAAAGCACCACAATGATTTTTATTTAGGCTTTAAATTGTATACACACTAAGTTTAACAAATAAGAGTCCTGTTTAAAACTGTCTACAATGTGAAACAGAAAAATCTAACATCATTATTTTGGCTACTAAATAATGTCCATCAGTTATAAGTTCCTCTAAAGGCCTGTCTATTGCATGTAATTCAGACAGCAACAACCACCAAAGATGGTTTAACTAGAGAAGAGCACTGGGTTGCCTCATTTCTATTATTGTCATTCTTACCTTGATGGATACTTCAGTGTGTAAGGAGCAGCCAAGAACCCACCAAGGTTTATTAGTAGGTTTTCTAAACGTCAGATGTTCTATTATCTACCACAGGGCATTTAAAAATATTTAGTAAACCAGATTTAATTGGGTGAAATTTTGTATAGCACTTTATTTTTTAAATAAAAGTTCTTTTCAAGTAAGTCTATCTACACCATTTTTCCTAAATTGACACTTCACTTACAAGTTCTCTAAATGAATAAAGCATATATTTTGTGTATATGTTGCCAGGCTGGCAATGTGTGTGCTTCTCATCAGATGACAGTGGGTATATTCCCAGGTTACTTCAAATCCACAATATTTCATCATGCAAAATATAAGTCTTGCTTTTTAGTTTTATTTTTCCATATTTGAGTCCCCAATGAAATACAAAGACTACTGAAATACATGAATGTTGGAAGTTTTAATGAGCAGTTAGAGCCAGCATATGAGCCCCGATTCTGACATCTGTTCTAATTTATGACTGATTCTAACAGCTTATGCTTTATACAATATGGCTGTGATCATAACAAAAAATTATTTTTAAGTTGCTCACATAACATATGTCTCAAATTATGGCACTCTCACTGGGTTCTACTTGTTTTTCTGACGTTTCAGTCCTTAAAAAAAAGAGCCATAATTAAAGTAACATGTATCAAGGAAGGAAGTAATAAAAAAAAAATCTAGCTTTAAGAGACTGCCATAGTGCGAACAACCTAAAAAAATTGGAATGAATAACTTTTCTACAAAGTTTTTCCAGCACTTTATTAACAAGATTTGGGGCACTTGGTTAATATAGCCACATCACTTATAGGCCTGAGGACAAAATAAGAATTCAGGACTCTTAGCTTAAGGGAGAGGGGAAAATGCACTCCAGGAGCTAAAATGAAAAGTTGTTTTGTCTTTTCTTTCAGAGTTTTTCTTTAGTTTTCATGTTGCTAATCTCCCCACTCCTTTCCCTAATATTGTTGTAGTAAGTGGGATTACATATATGCCTGATTGTGGTATTTACACACATGCTTGCGTACCAGGGTTCACAACCCTGCCATGGTGCTCTCATACATTTAGTTGTGCTGCTCACTGGGGGTGGCATAATTTCGTTTGAGTGCTCACACACACACACACACACACACACACACACACACACACACATACACACAGTGTGGTTCACAGGAGATCATTCTTTTGTGATACTAAGAGTCCCAAACAGCGGAGCTTTTGGAACCCTACTTGACACATCTCTGTTTTGCACCAGTAATCAAACTCTTGGCCTCAGGCTCACAAAACAGGCACATTTGCCACTCAGAATTCCCAGCATCCCTCCTCTCTATAGTATTGTCCTATTTTCTATTTAAAGTCATCAAAGCACATCAACCTGACCAGCTCAGTAGAGAAGTAAACTTATTTAAAGAAAAAATAAAATTGAAAATTATTGCCTTGGATTTTAACATTTTATTTCTTTTGAATAATGATAGTTATACATAGAAATGAGTTTTTTTAGCTTCTAATCCGAATCACTGAAAATGAGCAACTGTATTTTAGTAGCATACGTGACATATATTTTATTCTTACAATAATCAAAATGCACACATCTAACTCAACTTTTATACCACTTTTTGCCTTCATCTTATTTATGAGCAAGGAAATACAGAAAAGGAAAGAAACTAGGGGTTGTATTAGGTTTCCCTTTATTTCAGCAGCATCATTTTTATCATAAGAGGCTGTCTAATGCTAAGAAATAACAGTTTGGTAAGCATGAAACTCAAGATGTAACAACAAGACTTAGAAATGTGCCTGTCACGGAGGCAGGTTTTGGACTCGGTGGGAATCTGGGATGCTGGTGGAGGGAAGCCAGCACTGGTGATGGGTGCTGGAATATTGGAAACCTGAAATTCAACTATGAGTAACTATGTAAATCATGGTGTCTTACCGTTCAAAAAATTTTACATTAAAAAATTTAAAATTTAAAGGGATATGATTGTACTCTTTGCTTGTATCACTTGGTTGTATAGCTGTTTCATTTTTCTGTACTGATACAAGTTTTGGTTCATGAGAAAAATGTCACCTCAAAAAACAGTGAGTTCTTGGGGTTGGAATGATAGCACAACGGGTAGGGCATTTGCCTTGAACGCGTCCAAACTGGGTTCAATTCCCAGCATCCCATATGGTCCCCCAAGCATCACCAGGAGTAATTTCTAAGTGCAGAGCCAGGAGTAACCCCCCTGTACAATGCCTCCCTTATGAGTCTTGATACACTTTCATGCATTTTGAGTCTTTTAAAATGTTCTGCTTGAAACGTATGTGCCTTGAAAATTATGTGCAAATGGAAAGAAATATAGACATATGCATGGTGCCTACCTTCTCTGTTCATGCACATGTCCCCTTATCCCATCAGATTTTCTATGTGAAACACAGATTCTAAGGTAAATATATTTAAATTAAATATATTTCAATGGTGTAGTTTAAAGATGGAGTCTGGGGATGTGGCTCAGTGGTAGAGCATCTGCCTTTCATGCATGAGGCTGAAAGTTCAATGCCCATCATTGCCCCACATTGCTAAGGTGATCCCCAGCACTGCAAGTGTAATTCCTGGTACCACCACAAGTGAGACTTCCCAGTACCTGCACTAAAGTGTGTATGAACACTGCAACTGAATGTGTTACCCCTAGAAATGGTAGCGCGTATATCTTCTAACACTTCAACAACAATGACAGCAGTGGAGGAAAATTGCAAGTTGGTGATAGCATAGCATCAAGCCAAGAATGGGCCTGTATGTTTTACGTCTCTTAAGGCTGCCATTTCCTCACTGATCTCATTTAGAAATAAGACTGATTGTAAAACATGTCAGGTAGGGTTACCATAAGAAATAAGTTTTGAATGTAAAGTCCTCCAATAGTATTTTTTAATACTCATATTACAGAAATATGACTAAAAACCAGCCAGCCTCTGAGATGTATGAGAGAGGCAACCCAGCTTTATTACAAATGTGGAATCTACCAGGCTACTGCCACAAATGGGTCAGGTCATGAATGCCATTCATAAAGAGATTGTACAGGTTAGATACAGGGTACATCAATTCTATAGAATTTTTTTTTATCTAATAGACGTAATGCTTACTAACATATATAATGATTGGTATAATCAGTGACTATTAAATTTTAAATTCCATATAGACTTATACTAGTTGTTCCTGTGACCCTGTTTCTGTTCCTGCTCAAGCAACCAGATTGGTCTTGCTTATCTACTCTGTTCTGGTCATAAATTATAAATTTTTGTTCAGCTCCTAGAGTGGATCTTGCCTGTAGTTTCTTACTTCTGGTCCTAATTTTCCCGCTGAACTTTTATTGCCCTATATTCTCAATGAAATTAGGGAAATGGTTGTGATATTCCTAGGAGGAAATTCATTTAGATTTATCATTTTTATAGGGGCCATACCAGCAATGCTGGGAGTACCAGGACTGTGCCTGGTGGTCATCAATGAGTTGGGTATAGGTGAATGTGTGGTGCCAGAGATAGAATTCAGGACCTGGCACACATGCCAGGTAAGTGGTCAACTACTGCCTGAGCTATCTCCCCAGCCCCAAGATTAAGCATTTTTGTATAAGTCCCGATTAAATTCCTTTTTTTTTTTGCTTTTTGGGGGTCACACTCAGCAATGCACTGGGATTACTCCTGGCTCTGCACTTAGGAATTACTCCTGGTGGTACTTGGGGGATCATATGGTATACTGGGAATTGAACCCGGGTGGGCTGCATGCAAGGCAAATGCCCTACCCACTGTACCCTATCGCTCCATTTCCCCTAATAAATTCATTACCAATATTTTGGTCATGAAGCACTGAAATGATAAGTAGACAAAACTCTGAGAGCAGTTCTGAATTTTTGATTAGTTCGTTTATTTTCTGTCATGTAATTATTGTCGTAGGTTTTATCAAACAGTGCTGTGTGGGGTGTTCTGAAAAAAGAGAAAGGCTTGAGTTATTGAAAGTGAATGAACTGCCAGATTATCTCTGACTGCAAATGATATTAACTTTGAAAAGTTTTAGGCAGTGGGGGGAGCGGGGGTAAGGGGGAGGAAGTGGGTGGGTGGGAAGGCGGAAGAGACAGACAGCCTTTCCCTCCCAGGGTAGGGGGTGGCATGATACCATAGCTTAATGCATAGTCTATTCACATTTTTGCCAAAAGCTGCTGGGTTCCGAATTAAGTGCTTCTGGGGCAATGGCTATGTTGGAGAGCTGCTCATGGAAGGCAACTCGTGGTCTTGGTGGGATGGGTAGGACAAGGTCAGCATAATTCTTGACAACATCACTCAGCCTATTTGGTTTGAAAAATGTGGTTTCAAAAATCTAGATTCAATTTTCTTTTTAAACACTCAATAGATTGAATCATCCTGGGAAACATTAACTTTCAATTTCTGGGGCCTTTTTAGGTGCTGTGTTTATGAGTAATAAACCTAGTAATACATCAGAACGTGGGTGAACTGTTGCAACAGCTGCTTGTTTTCGAAGAAATTTATTGATAAATAATATTATCATTTCCAGATGCAGAACCTAAATACCTGATTGTTGTGAGACCAGTTTCTCCTCCAAGTCAGAAGAAGTCATGCTCAGGTATTTTTCACTATATTTAAAAATTAGATTATTTTTCATGCAATTTCATCTCCTTTCTGCTCATTGAGACCAAATGCCTTAGGAATTCCAAAATCACAAATTTTCCACATTTATCCCATTTTGGGGAGGTGAGGCACAGAAGGCACTCACTAGGGCAAGGGAGACTTGCAATAGTAAACACCATCTAAATAAATGAGTGAAAATGTTTCTACATGACTAGAGGAATCTTGAAATATTAATCTAAATTTTACTGCTGAAACTTCTTTAGAACAAATAAGCAATTCATTGGATATTATACAAGAATCAATAAAACTGAATGTTTTTATTGTATGATACCAAGCCCCCAACAAAAGCTGTAGGATTGGTTAGCAATGTTCTGCTTCTTGTTTTCATTTTCTGATGTAAATTGTTTACAATATTTCAACAATATTTCATAATATGTATTTATAGTAAAGTGTATTTCACATAGAACATTTTCTTATAATTTTTAATGGAGTTAATAGAAGGCAGGTGTTTTCAAAGATGCAGGTCTTCAAATATAATAAATAAAGAGATCTTTTGAATATGTTTATTCTCTTCTAATGTATTTCTTTTTGAGTCACACCCAGCAATGCTCAGGGATTACTCCTGACTCTGCACTCAGCAATTACTACTAGCAGTGCTTGGAGGACCATATGGAATTTCGGGGATCACACCCGGGCTGGCTGCATGCAAGGCAAATGCCCTACCTGCTGTACTATTGCTCCAGCCCCTCTTCTAATGTATCAGCTAAACCAATAAAATGTAACTCCATGGCCATTTATGTATCCTTACCATAATGTCATTTGTGTATCAACATTATTAAGCCAATACAAATGGCAAATGTATTACCAGAAATAAATTTCCATAATCCCATTCTCTTCTGTGGGTTTCTACTTTCTTTAAAAGAAGTCAAACATAGAGTATGTCAAAAGATGGTAAAGAATTTAGAAAAATGTAGTCTTTTTTCCTGGCTTCTTACATGTTCTCACAGAACACAGTAAGTCATAATTGCTCACAACAACTTGGTAATGATAGTTGTCCAGGCAACTTTTCACATACTTTAAAATAAAAGTACTGTTTATTTTAAGACTTTATTTCAAAATACTAAATAATTCAATAAGCAAGGATATGCTTCCATGGGATTTTTGCAGCGCATTCATTGAGCTGTTTTTTTCTATTTTAAATACACAAGAAATATATTTAAAAAATCAAATGTTGAGAGAATAATTGCACCGTAGTAGCAATTATTTAATTTGAAGGCTTCTCTTATACTGGCCATAGGAATTTTTTTCACTTTGTTGCAACTAGTTCATGTTTCACTTTTTCTCTCAGTATATATAAATTTTTTTGTAAAATGCACTTGAGAATAATAAAAATAACTAGTTGATATTCTTTCATTAAATTTATATTTGTATGCACAAGATACATTTTAACTAATTATTTTTATATAAGGATCATATCTTAGAGAAATATTTATTTGATGGTTTGTAAAGATTTGAGATTTCCTTAGGGGAAGAAAAATGTCTTTTATCTTAAAGGGACACATTGTGAGCAAAGTTAATGATAGTATGGAAAGAAAATAGAGACCTTCAATTTGAGTCTCTGTTCTCATTGTGACTTTGGAAAGCTTGAAGTTCTTTGGGTATTTTCTTTTATAAAGTGATATTGTTGCTTCACATTATAGTGAAAGGGGAACCAAGGTTATAGAAAAGTCTTAATAGAATCACTTTTTGAATTTGGCTGTAAATAGTAAGTAGCAGTAAGTAACTACTTAAATTACAGCTACTATCATGGTTGAATCTTGAAAATATACTCTGAAGCATAAATACATATTTGCAGCAACAAAGTAATCCTTTGAAATAATATCAAATAACCCTTAAAATAGCCTCCTGTTATGTGAAGTGATTTGACACAACTACTTTTGGACTGAGGTTTTTTTTCCACTGGAACAATTACTTAAGTCTAAAAGAAGCAACATAAATGGCTCAATTTTCAAGGATATTTGGTTCAGAAGCTCCATGCAAGATGTACTCTCTTGCCCACAGTATGAATGTCACAGGTTATTTTGCTCTTTGGTTCCAGTTTACATTAACACAAATTCTTCCTGTAGCAACTATTAGGTTCACAGACTGTTAACACAAAAAAGAGCACCCAATGGAAGAGCAAAGCATTATATTTTATGTTATTTTGTTGTTGTTGTTAGCACCATTTATTCTTTCTTACAGGTTATACCTAATATTTGAAATATTATCGCCTTTATTGAACTATTCCAGAAAATGAAGGTTAAAATTAAAATTTTTGAATACACAGTTCAGGAAGACACATTAAAAAATGGTATACAAAAGAAAGTGAAGGAAAAATTAGTATAAGTCAATGTACATCGAGCGATAGCACAGCGGTAGGGCGTTCGCCTTACAAGCGGCCAACATGGCCGACCCGAGTTCGATTCCTCCGCCCCTCTCGGAGAGCCCGGCAAGCTACCGAGAGTATTCGATATGCCAAACACAGTAACAACAAAGTCTCCAATGGAGACGTTACTGGGCCCGCTCGAGCAAATTAATTTTTAAATATGTTAAAACCTTTGTAACTGGAACAATTATGTTTTAAGAGTTCATTATGTACCTATAATGTATTGGATGAAGCATTATTTTTAATATATGTATATATTGTATTCATATATAAAATGAAAATTAAATAGGTAACCATCATTACTTTTTTAATCTCTTTCTGAAGAGCAAAAGCACTTGGAACATATAATTAAATATGTATTGGACATACAAACGGATAACAGAAATAAGATCGAATGACAAATAAACCAGAATATTTACTATTACACTGTGATGATCAAAGGAGAAATCTGAGTTACATAAAATATTGTCCCAGTCATATATTCCCTTGTTGTAAAATTAATTAAAGGGCTCAGGGAGATAGTTCAAGTAGTAGAGCACATTCATGGCATGAGCAAGGCCCAAAGTTTTGTCCCCAGCGCTGCCTAGTCCTCAGAGTATTATTATTTTTTATATTACCTCTCGGTAGTTTTAATATATCTCTTGTTGGATTTTTATTTATTTAATAAACCAGCCTTGTTTTCCACGGTTGAATATCTTCCCTCCTATTGTAGTGCTCCTCATTCCTACAGTTTTAAGTATTTTTAAAATTGCAAATGCTAATCCCTATATAGTTTAAAAGAATCTATAATATTTCATCAGCATCACATTTAGCTTTATCTAATAATTCACAGAAGCACAATAGCACTTTCTATATTTCTACTCTTCAAGCATTAATACAAACTTGTACACGTTTTCTATTTAGCGTTTCACTACAAAAGTGATTATTGAAAAGGCATGACCAAGGATATTAAAATTCCAGATAGAATAATTCTCTCTGTGTTTCTGTCTCTCTCACACACACTCACACACACATGCACACACACTAATGTTAACTACAACCCAGAGAGTAAGCTTTTTTTTTGTTTCTTAGGTTTTATTTCACCTTAATTCACAGTTTGTAAAGGGAATGGAACAAGAGTATATACAGATGTATACACATTGTGTGTGTGTGTGTGTGTGTGTGTTTTATGGGTAGTAGCCAAGGCTTCTATATTCCTGACTGACCCACAAAAACATAATACTTGCATAACTGGATATCATTTATATGCATGCATTTTGATGCACACATGCAAATACAAGCTTAATTTCAAAAGGGTATTTCTTATAAGTTGTATACTTAAAAATTCATGGATAAAGCATTGGTAATGTTTGTGCACTTTGGAAAAAGGTATTTATGCTTTTATGTTAAGCACTGTTATGCATTTTATACAAATAATCAAAAACTCTCTGATAGTACCAAAGCTCACCATATGTTGCTGCCTCCACAGGTAAATCACGCACTCGCAAACCTCTGCAGCTGGTGGTTGGCACTCTGACGCCAAGCTCAGTGTTCCTGTCCTGGGGCTTCCTCATCAACCCCCACCACGACTGGACATTGCCAAGTCACTGTCCCAATGACAGGTAACTCACTCCTTAACAGAAGATTTTATTTTTCATTTATGCTCATTTTGTAGTTTTTGCACGTGTTAGAAGAATGTTTAAATGTCAGGAGCATCAAAGTTTTTCTTAATTTTTATTTATTTGAGGTGGCTACCAGTGGTCTGTATTTCCTCATGGCATTCAACTGATGCTGATGTAAATTCCAGTCTTAGAAAAATGGAGAAATAAGACAGGAGGAGAGACTGACATGGTTTCAACCAAGCATAAATTTTAGTTTGTTTGTTTTATTTATTTATTGCTTTCTGGGTCACACCCAGCGATACACAGGGGTTACTCCTGGCTCATGCACTCAGGAATTACTCCTGGAGGTGCTCAGGGGACCATATGGGATGCTGGGAATTGAACTCAGGTCGGCCGCATGCAAGGCAAACACCCTACCTGCTGTGCTATTGCTCCAGCCCCCCCATAAATTTTATTTTAAAGGATTTTTGTTTGTTTGGGTCACACTCAGTGGTGTTGGAAGTCACTTCCAGTAAATCTTAGGACAGCCTGTAATGCTGGACATAAAACCCAGCCTTCTGTACAAACATACACTCCAGCCCACTGGGCTTTCTCTCTTTTCAGCCCTAAAAATGCTTGTGTTTTTTTACTTTTATTTTGCATTTAAATAACTCAAAGTAATTTTTAAAGTTTAGGAGTTTGCATTCCCTTCTAAAAAATGGAAAAAAATTTAGTGAGGCATGTTTTTTAAGTTCAATAAACTGCATGAATCTTAGGTGTACTGTGTCCTCATTTACTAATATACCAATCTTAGTTGTCTAGGTTACTCGATAACCAGAAATGTATATAATGATGTACTCCACTTCCCATCAAGATGTAGGGAAGATAGCTCAAAGGATTGGAGTTCATGATTTGCATGTGGGAGCTTTTTTTTTCTTTCTCTAAAAATTTTCATTGAAATCACCATGAGATACACAATCAAAAAGTTGTGATTGGGTTTCAGTCATACAATGTTCCAACACCCATCCCTTTACCAGTGTACATTTCCCACTATCAATATCCCGTTTGCCTCTTGCTGACACCCAGCCTGCCTCTATGGCAGAACTTCTCCCTCTCCCTGTTCCTCTCCCTCTCCATCTCCCTCTCCCTCTCCCTCTCCCTCTCTCTCCCTCTCCCTCTCCCTCTCCCTCTCCCTCTCCCTCTCCCTCTCCCTCCCCCTCTCCCTCTTCCTGTTCCTCTCCCTCTCCCTCTCCCTCTCCCTCTCTCCATCCACCTTTTTTTGGGCAATACGATTTGCAATACAGGTACTGAAAGACTATCATGTTCGTCTCTTCTGTGTGTGAGCTTTGAGTTGTTCCCAGTTATGCATTGTACCCCCAATACCGTCAAGGAGTGACACCCCCTGAAGCCAGATACAGCCTCCAATACTCTGACTATTGGCCCAAAATCTCCCCTAAATTATTGGAATATTTTTGTCTCACTGGAAAGTATATTCTTCAAGAAGTAACCACTGATCTTGTTTTCATAACTATATATTTGCTTGCCTACTCTAGAATTTTAAATAGAATCAGATGTTTTCCTTTTGTTTCTATCTTCTTTTACTATGCATATTTTGAGATTTATTCATAAATTTCAGGTGCCATAAAATCATCTATTGTTTGGTAGTGGGAATTATTTCTGAGAGAAGTACTGTTAGGCAATTTGATATAGTCCATTGGGATCTTTGATATAGTCTATTGTGGTCTGTCATGGACCAAAATGTAGGTCATTAAAATAATGACCCATTGTTTTAATTTTAAAATCATGGTCTACTAAATAATATCACTTAATCACTTAATCACTTAATCCCCGTTATTCATCGATTTATTCGAGCGGGTGCCAGTAACGTCTCCATTCCTCACGGTTGCGTGCTAGCGTAGCCCAATGGTATCTGTTCATTTTAGGAACATGTAGAGCCTCAAACCAATCATTTAGGGTCTTGACGAAGAAGTCTGACCATCTTATAGGTGGGCGTCCACGTGATCTTTTGATGTCTCGTGGAATCCAATCAGTAATGGCTCTAGTCCAGCGGTTGTCTGTAAACCTCATTACATGTCCAGCCCATCTGATTTTTGATGTCTTGGCAAATGAGACAGCATCTCTGATTCTTGAGCATTGACGAAGATCAGAACTCCGGATTCTATCTCTCATTTGAGTGAATCGTGATATTCCAAGCATAGTTCTTTCGATTCCTCTTTGAGAGACCCGAATAGTGTTCTCATCCTGTTTTCGTAGGGTCCAGGTCTCTGAGGCATATGTTAATGCAGGAAGAATAGTGGAATCAAAGAGATGTGCTCGTAGTTGGAGGTTCTTTGTCCTTTTAGTTATTTCTTCAATGCTCTTGAAGGCATTCCAAGCCGCTCTCTTCCTCCTGCGTAACTCAGGTGCCAGGTCATTCATCATGTTGATTTCTCGACCTAAGTATATATAACTGTTGCATTCGGAGATGGTGGTTCCGTTGAGAGCGAATGGAGCGTCAGGAACAAGGCTGTTTCTCATAAACATTGTCTTCGTAAGATTCAGCTGTAGTCCAACCTTTCCACACTCACGGTCAAAGTCCGCAAGCATTTGTGCTGCTTGGCTGATGTTTGGTGTTATTAGAACTATGTCATCAGCAAAGCGGAGGTGGTGTAGTTGCCGACCATCTATCTTCACTCCCATGTTTTCCCATTCTAGTTGTCGCATGATGTTCTCGAGGGTGGCACTGAAGAGTTTTGGTGAAATGGTATCACCCTGCCGAACCCCTCTCTTGATATGGATGATTACTTCTTTGTAGAATGGTGAGATCTTGGTAGTGAATCCGCAATAGAGCTCACGAAGGATCCTGATGTATTGAGTTTGTACGCCCTGATTGGCTAGGGCTTCCATGACCGCTTCCGTCTCAACAGAATCAAAGGCCTTCTTTAAATCAATGAACGTTAGACAGAGCGGCATCTTGAACTCCCGAGATACCTCAATGAGCTTGGTTATTGTGTGGATATGGTCGATGGTACTGAATCCTTTTCGGAATCCAGCTTGTTCACATGGTTGTCCTTCATCTAGTGTTCTGCTAATCCTATTCAGGATGACTCGAGTGAATAGTTTGTAGATGACAGACAATAGGCAGATTGGGCGATAGTTGCCAATGTCGTGGATGTCTCCTTTCTTGTATAGTAGTACAGTCTTGCTGGTTTTCCATTGGGATGGAACCTTGCATTCAGACAGGTAGCGTGTGAAGAGTCGAGCTAATGTATTGATGAGTACTGATGGTAAGTTCTTCAGGTGTTCAGGTCTGATCTTGTCTGGGCCAGGTGCTTTTTGTTTCTTTACCGACGAGATGGCATGTTGGATTTCGGAAGGGAGAACATTGGGAACGACATATCCATCATGTGGTATGTGGTATGTGGGCAAGTGGATGTGGCTATTAAAGAGATCTGAGTAGAATTCATGAATAATCTTCTCCATTGCCCTTCTGGAAGATGTGATAGATCCATCATGATGTCGGAGGGCAGTCATCTTGGTTTTGTAGTTGGTGAAGGACAGGCGGGCATTACGAATGTTTTTCCCAGCTTCTGCTGCATCTACCAGTACTGCTGCTCTCCTGTTTTTGAGGTCATCCTTGATGGCTTTTCTGCACTGTTTTGCCAGTTCGGACGTTTGCTTGTGGTTGCCTGAGGCACGTGCCACGCCACGTTGGCGAATAAGTTCAAGAGTGTTCGAAGAAAGACGGTTTTTTGTGGTTATCTCTCTCTTGGCATTCCTTGCACAATCATGGAGGTGCTGAATCATTCGATCGTATTCCTCATCAATGTTGTCAATGACGGCATCTTCCCATGTTGCTGCAACAGAGCCAAAGAGTTCCCAGTTGGTGGTTGTTCTGGGAGTCTTCTTCTTAAACCTTGCATTCTTTTCTCCTCGTTCTGTGAGGTAGAATTTTGCATGAAGAAGACGGTGGTCTGATCCCGTTTGGAATTTTGGGACAACAGCAACATCGGTTAGGCAAAACCGCCGATTGAATATGATGTGGTCTATTTCATTGTGGAACCGTCCATCGGGAGACTCCCATGTCCAACGTTTAGATTCAGCCTTTTGGAATTGTGAGTTACCATGGAAGGTTTTGGTTGACATGATGAACTCAGACAGTCTGTCACCTTGTTCGTTCCATTCCAGGCCATGGGTTCCGATGTGGAGTTCATCGACTGATCTTCTTGGTCCTATCTTGGCATTAAAATCACCAACAATGATCTTGTAGAAGGTGTGATCTTCTTTATAGAATTTCTCCAGCTCCATGTAGAATTTCTCAGTTTCTTTTTCACCATAACTGGATGTTGGTGCGTAGACAACAAAGATAGAAACTGCCGGTAGTGAGCCACATTTATTCAAGTGTAATCATCCGATTCGGGTTGTTAGGCATTCAAATGAATCAATGCTTGTGACTAAGTTTGTGTTGACAAGGATACCGACACCACCGACGCCTCTTTTATCACATGTTCCAAGGAACAGTTCTTCTCCAGTGTCGAAAACAGCATGATGGGATTGATGTCTTCTCGTTTCGGTCAGACCAATGATGTCGTACTTGATCTTTCGTGCTTGTACCATAAGGTCTTCAATGGATGCAGCAGATGCCAGCGTACGAGCATTAAAAGTACAGACAATCATTTTTGTTTTTCTGCGTTTTGGCAGCCCATGTCTGCCTTGGTGTTTTATCAGCTTCTCCTTCCATATCCTTCTCGACTCTGCATAATCAGGGCTAGGGGAATGAGATCCATTTATTACTGGATTTGGCATATCAATTTGGTCTATTTGGCATAGATCACGGATAGCTTGCCAGGCTCTGCCGTGTGGGTTGGATATTTAAGGATATTTAAGGTATCCGGAAAATTATTAAATAAATAGTCTTTATTTATTTATTTATTCCGGGAGCTTGTTGTGATAATCTTTGGATCCTGGCCTTTGTTGGGGTTACATGGCAGTTGGAGGGTGTAACTGTTTAGCTACTGACA